AACTAGTTTTAAATTTATATACGTTAAGGTTCATTCTTTTTGATATAAGGGACTGTAAATTTGAAAAATAGTATCATTAACACACCATCAACATCAGAATAATTTCACTGTCAGAAGGAAATCTGTATTTCACCTTTTCAAACTTTGTCTCTCCCAAGTCCCTAGTAACCATTAATCTTTTCATCATCTCTATAAATTCACCTTCTTCAGAGTGTTGTAAATGGACTTACACACTATGTAGTTTTTTTCCAGTTGGCTTTATTCAGTTAAGTATATACCACTAATTTTTATGAAGTTTATATCATGATGGTTTGGATATGCATTTCACTAACAAATAAAGTTGTTGAGCCTCTTTTCCTGTATTTATCAGGCATCATCTATATATTCTTTGAAAAAATATTCCACTCACTTTAAATTAGAATATTTCACTTTATTCATGAATTGTTGGAGCGTTTATATATTATGGGCTATAGCTATATCTTTTGCAAACATGTTTTCCCTTTTGGGGGAGGTTGTAATATTATACTTAGAAACACAAAAGCTCTTTCTTCATTCATTTTTATTATGTTGTCATCTGTGAGAATTTTTTTTCATCTATGTCATGAAGATTTGTTGGTATGTTCTCTTCTGTAGGGTTTGAAGTTTAAGCTGTAACATGTATGTCTGTGATCTCTTTGTGTTAATTACATATATGGTATGAGAGAAGAGTCCAAACTGCATGTGGATAATGGATATTCACTTGTTCCGGCAATATTTGTTGAAGAAAATATTTTTCCATATTGAATTGTTTTTGCAACCTTTTTCTGGGGGGTGCTTATTTTTGTTTCTGAGAGATGGAGTCTTACTGTGTTGTCCAGGCTAACCTCAAACTTGCCATCTTCCTGTCTTGATCTCCTGAGTAGCTTGAATTACTGGCATGCGTCACTATGCCCACTTGTCTTGGCACCCTTTTAAAACTAGTTCTTCATGAATATGTGGGTTAATATTAGATATTCAACTCTATACCATTGATATTTGTGTCTATTTTTATACCAGCGCCACAAATTCATGAGTATGCTCAGTCTGTAAATTTTGATATCATAAATTATGAATCTACTACTCCAACTTTGTTCTTCTTTTTTAAGAGTGTTTTGGTTATTTTAGATCATTTCAATTTCCTTATGAATTTTATTTATTTTTTTTTTAATTTTTTATTGTGGGTTGTTCAAAACATTACAAATTTCTTGACATATCATATTCCACACTTTGATTCAAGTGGGTTATGAACTCCCACCTTCACCCCATACACATCCTTATGAATTTTAAAAGTAGTTTGCCAATTACTGCAAAACTATGAAATTTAAAAAGGAAGATATAATTTCTATACAGATTTCATTGAACTATATATAATTTGGAAAGTATCACTATGTTAATATTTAAATTTTCTGATCAACAAACATGGAAAATTTTCCTATTTTAAATTTATTTAATTTCAAAATATTTTGTAGGTTTCAGTCTATATAGCTTCCACTTACTAAATTTCTTCCTAAGTATATTTATTTTTTAATATATCTAGTTTTCTGAGTTTTATTATTACTGATTGATAGTGTGAAATTGACTTCTGCGTATTATGTACTGCAACATGACTGATCTTGATTTTTAGTTCCAATTATTTTAGCAGACTATATAATACTCTCTATAAAATATCATATAATATGAAGACAAATAGTTTGACTTCTTCCTTTCCAATGTGAATATTAAGTATGTAATTTTCTTGCCTAACTGCCCTGATTACAACCTACACTAATAGAAGCAACAGAGGAGTTACTGTGCATATCTTTGTATTTTCTAATCTTGGGGAAATTGCGAGACATTCACACTAATGTGTTTTTTTTTTAAAAAGAGAGAGAATTTTTTAATATTTATTTTTCAGTTTTTGGTGGACACCAACATCTTTCTTTATTTTTATGTGGTGCTGAGGATCCAACCCAGCACCCCGTGCATGCCAGGTGAGCGCGTTACCACTTGAACCACATCCCCAGCCCCTAATGTGGTTTTATAAGAATTTTTTTTGGTGGATTCTCATTTTAAGTTAAGAATTTTTTCTTCTATGTCTAATTTTTTCAGTGTTTTTTATCATAAATAAATTTTGCCTATGTTAAGTAGTTTTTATACATCTTTGAGGTGTTCATCTGGTTGTTGTTTATTCTATTAATATAGAACATTATGCTCTATTTTTAAAAAAATGTTGCAAATTTGCATTTCTGAGATAAATATCTTCAGTCATAATGTTAATCCATTTTATATGTATGGAGGGTTAAAACATAAGAGTAATCTTAAGGTATGTTCAGAGTCCTCTCAGTCTGGACTTCCTGTACTTTAGGATAAGAATGGTGATTCCATTCTAGCACAAGAAGGGCACCCTTAACATTTTAACATCTCTTGCCTTTAAGAAACAAAATGGATGTAAGAATGATCTTGTTCCTGCTGTTTTGCAAGTGCCTATAACTTAAAAAAAAAGTCAATAAGCAGGAGTTGTGTATTTTTTGATTCCTGCATGCCTATTTCTGGAATTTCCATAGAAGTTTCACATGTTAAAGCTGACTTGGTGCCTGTGGAGAAAAAAGAGTAAATTTAGTATCTGAATGGTAAGAGATCTTCAAAGATAAAGAATGCAGATCAGAATGAGAATGAGTAAGCAGAAATAACAAATCAAATACATTTTCCCCATGCTCTTTTAGATCACTTGCCCATCCTTGGGAATGGGTCAGTACAATAAAATGGTTGAATCTCATTTATATGATAGGTTTTATCTTGTCCTTTAAAAGGTACAGATTAGACACTATTCGTTCAAAGCAATTTATATAATAATACCATTCTTCACCCATGGATACACCAGTTTCATCCCCTGGGTAGGCCAACAGTGTCCAGGGCATGAAGATTTTGGAATATGACACATCCTAATGTATTAACTTCGATTGGAGTACTTCCATTATTTGAACTGTGATATTAGGCATTGTTCTAGCACAATGGAAATATTCGAAACTGACTTTTCCAATCTTTAGATTTGATAGCGTGGGAAAAGGGGTCTCAAAACTGAAAAGAAATTAGAATTGTGGTACACAGTGGTTTTTGTTTTGGTTTTTGTTTTGGTACAGGGGATTGAACTCAGGATCACTCGATCACTGAGCCACATCCTCAGGCCCATTTTGTATTTTACTTAGAGACAGGGTCTTACTGAGTTATATAGCACCTCACTATTGCTGAGGTTGGTTTTGAACTTGCGATCCTCCTGCCTCAGCCTTCTGCGACTAACCTGATGTGAAGTCAGTAAGGGTTAATGAAACTTCATTTGAAAGAAATTCCACAATGGATAGCCAGAGAAAGAATAGAGTAAATTGAGATGGGCAGTGTCCCATTAGCTTGTAATTAACTAGTATACAGGGAAAATATAATGGGAAATGGGGTGCTTTATTAAAGGGAATAGTTTTGTTATGTTGTTATTGTTATTTTACATGCACAGATGCTTTAAAAAGGAAGAAAATAGGGGGAAATATAAAAAAAAAGTACATATTCAGGCCCTTAATGAGAAAGTAGAATTGAATGAGTAGTTACTCATCTCAGAATGGCTAACAAGGTTCAGTGGACTCTGAGTGTTTAGTATTGATAGGATAGGCAACTTTACTAATATGAAGTCTCAGGCAAAAAAGACAGAGCTGAGCAACCAGTTCCCACATATTACTCACTAATATGGAAGATGTGATTTCCCATAACCCACTAAATCACCTGTGACCAGACTTCACTGAGGCTGGCATAACCAATGGAATTCTCAGAAAGATGCCAGAGTCAGACCATATCATGAGACAAAAACCCTGCTGCCACATTCCAGCCTGAATAGAAGACAGTGATCAATGAAAAATGGCTCATGTATATGAGAGCAGAACTTGGTGTTAACTTAATTGACCTTGGTGGTGAATAGGTACAATTTCATACATCTTAAATTATGAATTATGAGTTTTTCTTGTCTCAATGTGCTCATCAGCTATAACATGATTAATTTTAAAATTGGAACAAATAACTTGCATCTTGCAATTATTAGAAAACCTGTTAGTATTTGCAAATACTGGCTTAATGGTCAGTACAGACTGGGGATTAGTCTACAGATTTTATATATTATTAGTTTACTCATAGAGCATCTCAAGATGCAGGTACTATCACCACTCTTATGGTCCTGTTCTGAATCTGAGAGAACATCTAAAAGAAAAGAATCTTGAGCTTGACTGTGTCTGTTGTCTGAGTTCTTATATATTTTAACTATTAGAGTATTTTGGTGTTGAGGGTGTAACTCGGTGGTAGAGCTCATGCCTCCAATGCACCACAAACAAGCTGTATTTTTTCTAAGTGGCAAATACTTTGCAGATCTATTTAAAAAAATACCCTAATCCTGAAATTATTTTATATATAATAAATGTGGTATTAAATTATTTTCTATATTTAGGTGTATGATCTGTCTGAAATTAATTTCATGTTTAATATGAGGGTAAAGTTTAGATTTTTATTCTCAAATGGATATTCAACTTCTTACAACACACACAAATCCATCCTCACCTCATTGATCTTTTTATCAATTTATATATATATATATATATATATATATATATGTGTGTGTGTGTGTGTGTGTGTGTGTGTGTGTGTGTATACACACGTTCCTGTTTTTGAGGTCTCTATTTTTACTGGTTTATTTATGTGCATATAAAATAGTCTTTTTTATGATGTCAGGAGCAAAGGGACAGAGGGGCAGAGAGAAATCCTAGGCTCATGAATCAGTAGTCCCAGCGATCTTGGATGTCCCTACATGGACTGCAGGTTCTTGTACCCTGGGTCCTTCTTAAGAGGTAGGTGGGATTCGTGGATAAGAAAATTCAGGACCCTACTCAACTGCATCCAGCATGCCACACATCGGAAGCTTTGAGCAGTCAGACCGGAAAAGGGATTAAAGGAGTTCCGCAGCTGCGCGCCAAAGGAACCCCGCCAGCAAAGCAGGAGTTGCAGCAAAGCCTTGGGAGGTGGCGAAGCTGCCGGAATCTCTGAGATGCGGAGGAGGATGGCGCTGGATTGGAGGTAGGGAGTAGGGGCGGCTGGCTGGCTTTCCCTGCAGACAGACACATCTTCTCGCTTGTGTATCTGCATGACCTTATGTGTAATGTGGTGTTCTGTTCGTATACAAACCTCATTAATTTTCTTGTTTCTCAGACTGTTGCTGCTATTTTGTAGACATTCTTTCTGTCACGCGGTCTCTTACACTGCGTACGTATTTATGTACTTAAATTTCTTAATTATTCATAATTCGCCAAATTTATCTATGTAATTTTAGTTGACAATAATTGTGTTTATGGTGTAAAATTTATGCTTTGACCTATATATATACATTGCATTACGTTTTATTTAAGCTAATTATTGTATAGAGCACCTCACCAATTTGTATACCTTGTGGTGATGAGATTAAAATCTATTCTTATGCAATTTAAGGTTTATTTATTATTATATATGTAAATATATATAATATAGAGAGATTGTGGTGCTGGGGATTGAACGCAGGGCCTCATGCATGCTAGGCAAGTGCTTTAACATTGACTAACATTGAGCTACATCCCCAGCTCTCATTTAAAAAAAAATAGTTATACACGGACACAATACCTGTATTTTATTTATTTATTTTTATGTGGTGCTGAGGATTGAACCCAGTGCCTTACATGAGTTAGGCAAGTGCTCTATCACTGAGCTACAACCCTAGCTCCATCCCCAGCCTTCTTGTAGCAGTTTTAAACTATGCAATTTAGTAAAGTTGTAAACTTTCCCTGTGTTAGTGTGCCTTTGCTCATTTCTAAAAATCATTATGTTCTCATTTAAAATGTAAAGCAAGAATATAGTTTAGAATATTGTGGGTACCCTCACAATTTTAGACATTTCCATGTTCTGGGAACCAGTAAGTTATCAATGTTCATTCAGAGATTCTAATTGCTTTAATTATTACTTTTTTGATTTTTTAAATAATATATCTTCTATTTATTTTGGATTTAATTTTATTGTTCTTCTTTTTCTGTATTCCAAAGATTGAAACTTAGATGATTTACTTAGCGCTTATGAATTTCCCTCCCAGTTCTGTTTTTTTAAATGTTTTTTTTTCAGTTGTAGTTGGACACAATACCTTTATTTTATTTATTTATTTTTATGTGGTGCTGAGGATCAAACCCAGTACCTTGTACATGCTCTACTGCTTAGCCACAACTCCAGCCTCCCAGTTCTGTTTTTTTTTTGTATCAAATTTTGAAGACTTGTGTTTTATTTTCATTCACATCAGATTTTGTTTTCTCTTAAGGTGTTTTCCTTCATCAACATGTTATTTGAAAATGCATCATTTAATCCTCATGCATTTTGAGATTTTTTAGTTATCTTTTCGCTTACTCTTTGATTTGTAACTTAAGTCCATTGTGGTCTGAGAGCATACAGGATATGATTTCCATTCTTCTGAATATGTTATTTGGATCAGAATGTAGTCTATCTTGATGGATGTTCCATGTAACAGTAAGTAGAGTATGTATGTGATTGTTGAAGATACTTGTGGTTTTCAATTATATCCTAATGATTGATAGTACTATTGGTTTCAAATGTATCTTTACTGAAAATACGCCTCCTGGATCTATCCACTCCTCGTAGAGGGTGTTGGTATTTCCAAATATAATAGTGCATTCATCTTTTTCTCTTTGCTCTTCTATCAGTTTCTGCCACATATAGTTTGACACTCTCTTGTTAGATATACATACATATTGTTAGTTTTTATATATTGAAGTTCATGTTTTATTAAAGTAGGATTTGAAAATCATAATTATGAATTTATCATTAAGTTACTATAGGGAATTAATTGCCCTAAAGCAATTTCCTGTAGTCACAAATTCAATCTTACTCTTTTCCAATCACTAATCTTTTTACTATATCTATACTTTTGCAGAGTGTCATATAAATTGAATTATGAAATTTTTTTCTTTCATTTTTTTTTCGTTTAGTGACATGTCTTTCATATTTATGAAGCACGTCTGATAATGATTTAGATTTGCATTTCCCCAAGACAAAATATATTTAGTGTCTTTGGGTGCACATTGTATAGCTTTTTGCAAAATAGTTTATTCAAATAATTTATTTTTCAATTGTGATATTTTCCTTTTTAGTTTTGATTTGTAAGTTATGTTTATGGATTCTGGAAAATAGACCCATGTTAGCTATATGACTTGGAAAGATTTTCTCCTATTCTTTTGAGGTGTCTTTTAAAAAAGTTTTTTGATCATATAATCCTTAATTGTGATAAATTTCAATATATCTATATTTTTCTCCTATTTCTTGTGCATTTACTGTTTTAATGTTTATCTTAGAGGATATTTTTTAACTGAAGGCCACAAAGATGTATTTCTTTTACTCTACATAATATTCCTATTTAGCAATACTATTTGTGTGTTAGGTGTATGAACAATTTGCTTTAATTATTTATATGTTGTGATAGATGAATCCCAATTATGTGTGAAATCCAACTGGAAACATTTGATTAAGAATAGTTTCCATATTGTATGAACTTAGCAATGTTAGAAATAATTGATCATATGTAAGGGTTATGTTTGGGCACTCAGTTTTACTCCATTAATATAAATATCTATCCTTACAACAGCCCCATAAGACTTTAATACTATGCCTTTAAAGTAATTTTTGAAATCAGGACCTATGAGATTACCATGCTAACTTTGTTATTCTTTCTCAAGATTATTTTGTCTGGTCTGGATATATTACATTTATATTAGAATTTTATAAACAGATTATCAATTTAGTAAAAAAAAAGAATGCCCTCTTGGATTTAAATATGGATTGCATTAAATCTATAGAACCACTTGGAAGTTATTGCTATCTTAACAATAATAAGCCTTCTAATTAATGAACATCAAATATTTCCATTTATAATTAGTATTTAATAAATTTCAATAAGTTTAGTTCATTGTCTATAAACTATACTTATTTTATTAAATTTATTCCCAAGTACTTTTACTTTTATAATGCTATTTAAGGAAGAATAGTTTTGGGATTTCCTTTTTAGATCATTTGTTGCTACTGTATAGAAATGCAATGGGTTTATGTGTTTTTATCTGTCCTGAAACATTACCAGACTCATTTTTACTTCTAATTGCATTCATTAATGTCCTTATTATTCTAAATATAGAATAATGTCATTTGCAGAGAAAGTTTGACATTCTTTCTAATCTTTATGTCTGATATTCATTTTTTTCTAGTGTCATTGTCCTGACATCATCTTCCAGTAAACATTAAAATGGTAAGAGTGGACAATCTTGACTTGTTTCTAAATTGAGGAAAATTTTGATTTTTTTTCAGATAACAAATGATTTTATATGAGATTTTTTTTTGTGTGTGACATTTTAGGTAAAGAAAGTTCCTTCTATGCCTAAATTGTTTTGAGATTTTATTATAGAGTTTGGATTTGTTAAGTGCATTTGTTAAGTGCATTTTGTGTGAAAAATGAACAAAGATATCTTGGGCTCAAGAGAAGAATGGGCAAATAAGAAAATTGCTTTGCCATATTTTCCTATCTATCCACCCTGCCAAACTTACATACATCATCAAGATCCAGGGTCTCTCCTTCTCTTTCTTCATTGCACTCCCTGTAACTCAGTCACCAGTTTAAGTGTCATTAACCACTTTTTCAAAAGTAGATGCCTATGCCTCACATATTCCAGAAGCTCTGTATTTGGATAGTATGTGGTGGTATATCTTAAGATCCCTCTTAAAGCATTTTTGGAAGACATGACTTTTGGATATTAGAAGCCAATATTGGAAAAATGTCAGTGACAGGATCATGAATCATATCTATGCAGTCAGGAGAAGTTTTTCTTGGTATAGCATTCCTTCTACAAATGATCAATAGACAACTGTCCTTTCAAGCCTCTCAGAAAGCCCTATGATAGTTAAGATCTTATTTTAGACTCCATCAAGAATTCTTATTTTTGGTACTGGGGAATGAACTCAGTGGTACTTGACCACTCAGCTACATCCCTAGCCCTATTTTGTATTTTATTTAGAGACAAGGTCTCACTGAGTTGCTTAGCACTTTTCTGTTGCTGAAGCTGGCTTTGAACTCCTGATCATCCTGTCTCAGCCTCTGGAGCCACTGAGATTACAAGTGTGTGCCACTGCACTGTGGCTCCATCAAGAATTCTGTGAGATCAAGTATTTTCTCAACACACCTGTCAGGGAATGTTATTACCTGTGACCAAGCTCAAAAGACACAGAACAGATCTCCTCATTACCACATTTTAGCAGGATACAAATTTGTATATTTTTTTAAATGATGATTTAGGCTAATTCCTGTTTATAAATATCTGAAAATGAATATGTGGATGCTCAAGGTTTTGCAGGTGGCAAATAAGTGATACACATGTGTTATGCACAGATATGGATAGATCAGTGGGGTAAACAAGAACAAGGTCAGCACAACATACCCCCAAATCTCCATTCAATGATCTGAGAGATTGACAAAGTCTTAATGAAGACTCTACACATGTGCTGGCTAAACAAAGAATCTGGCAGTGGGGAAGACTATCCACTTATGCTACACAACTTCTTGCTTATGCCCTGTGGATCTCTGCTGGGCAGCAGCAGGGTTGTGTCCAGGAACCATGTCTACAAAACCTATAGATCCCTGAGACTGCACACACACACACACACACACAAATTTCTTGTTTTCTTGCTCTGTAACCATGCATTTTCCATACTACCTTCATAAATTCAGTAAGAAATGATTTCCTGCCACCTGGAGATCTGCCCTGAGATACAACTGACCTAAACTACATTTTTGTAATATCTGTATGATTTGTCAAAACCATTTCTCTTCATTTCAAAGCATACATTACAGTCTGTCGTAATGGATGCTGTGACTATCATCTCTTACTAAAGTTTGGACTAAAAAAGAAAAGGGTAGAGTGGCATGCTATAAATCAATCACAGGAAATCTGGATAACAGTGTCTGTAACCAAATTTGTCTTTTTATGTTACATAATAAGGCTTTTCATTCCTGTGTTTAAAAATCCATTAATGATAGTTTTATGGTGGAAGGAGACCCTCATCGTTACACAAAATACATGTATGAAGATGTGAATTTGGTGTCAACATATCTTATATACAATCAGAAATATGATAAATTGTGGTATAAATGTGTATTAAGAATTGTTATTCAAAAGTAATAGTAATAAGAGAGCTCATGTATAATGGCATAATTTGGAGTGAACATACTTTACATACAGAGTTATGAAAAATGGTGTTGTGAATGGATAATTATGATTTTAATGCATTCCACTATTGTCATGTATGTAAGAAATAAAAAAAATATAAAATATAAAGCATTATAAATAAATACTCATTTCAGTTATTTTAATCTTTTTTCTACCACTCATTGATAATTTAAATGAAAATATCACTTTTGCTAGAAATGACAGATGTTATTTATTCTGTTTTAAGTTTTCAGAATTCTTACTGAAATATCTCCTATTGAAAAGGAAAAAGACAAACTAGTCTGGGAGCTAAAAAGGCAAAATTTTCTCAGACTCATGCTAAAAAAAATCTGTGAATGTTTCCATTTTATGACTTAATTTTTCCTATTAGTATGTTTACAAAGTCATTACTTTGTGTAGACAGAACACTAATTTTCCCAGTCTGAATGCAGAGACCAGCAACTTCATTACTGTGCAGATGTAAGCCTCATTATATTGTTTTAAGTTTCCTCCATACAAGATACAGACGTTATCTATAGTTCATAATTTCATCCATCTCATTTCTGTAAACATCCATGTGATATTTCCTTATGCTAATCACTTGTAATGTATGCAGTATTTTCTTACATTTTAATCAGCAATTACCAGAAATTATTTTCAATTCTCAGCAAAATAAAAACATTTAAATTGTGTACATTTATGTATTTCAGGCAGCACATATTATTGTAACATTGACTTATGGAAGGAGAATTGTGGTCTTTGATCATCTATCATATTCTTAGAAAGTTTTCATGCTTGTGACTTTTTCAGATTTCCATTTTGTTGATTAGTAAACAACTTATCCATCTTCATATTATTGACTTGATCCATGATTTAGGGATGAACCCTTGGCAGTCCTCCACATAGTTTAAGTATGAATAGATGTTGACTGTCCTGGTTATTGAAGATGGAATTCCTCAACTGGTGTTGAACAGGGATTTCTTCACCTTAAACTACCAAGAGAGACAAAAACAAAACAGTCCAGAAACAATTCAGGACTCCAGAAAGGTGACTAGGAGTTGTTTGGAGCCTTCAGTGTGGAAAAAATAATGTCAGCATGACTGTGTAGAGAGGGGCACATTCTTCTGTGAAGGAACATTTCTACAAGTGCATCTCTGAGACTCAAGAGCATGGGTCTTGGGTGCAAGTAATAAAATGGTCAATAGCATGTTCTAAAAGCTAATCTGGTGGGATGGAGACATTAATTCATTAATAGTGATATTTTATATATAGTTCTACTGTGTATTAATTGTGGTAACTTGTTTTACCAAGATGGCTGCAGCCATTGCCTCTGGAATTCAATATTGTATAAAGATAATTTTAAGGCCAGATATTAGTTAAAATAAAATCTGAAAATGTTCCCCTCATCCTTAGTATTAGAGCATGGCACCAAGTAAATAATGTCACTACATGTAAAGAGCAACCTTGTATTCTATACACAGTACTTAGAAGTGGCATTTCTATGATGAAGGATGGAGACAAGATAATCACCAATGTAAACTGGAGGTTTTCTAGAGAAACAAATAGAAAATATAAGCTTTTCTGGTTTCTCTTTCTTTGCATGATAATTGTGTTCTTCTCTCATAAATTGAAATTGCTGTCTGCATTATTTTATAATTTGGTGACTTTATGTGCCAAATGTAGATTACAAAGAAATGACAGATTGGTGTCCAAATGAGATGGTTTAATCTTATAACCTGTTTTTACTTGATACCTAAAAGTTTTCCCTTCATCTTTGGTCTTGTTGCAAAATAGTCATTTATTATAAGGTCCTCTATCTTTATGCAGTCAGGGATTAGATAAAATGGTTGAAAGTCAAGTTTGTTTAAATGACCTCTCCTTGTGTCTTTGCTCTTTTGTTTTAGACTACTTCCAGATATCTTCAACTCATGTCTCAGTGGAGTAATGGCAACCTGTGTGGAACCTGGCATGATGCCTCTCTCCTATTCTTACCAGTGGACGTGAAATTTGGTGCTTAATTCTTCCAGACTCTCAATTTCATCTTCTTAAAACAGAGTGTCTTCCAAAATTTATGTCAATATTCTTTGGGCCAATGGTGCAATTAGATTGTGTTATAGTGGAACATCTTTCTCTTAGACAGGGCCATACATATGGGTGGCCCATTCAGCCAAGATTTTTCTTTCCCAGAGACTACCAGTAAGATCAATGTAGTATGGTCCAAGTGTTAAAGAACTAGTAACAGATATAAAAAGCAGGCAGACAAGAGGATCATCAAAAAGATGGCTGACAGATGGGAACCTTTAAAACAGACAAAGTTGCACATACAGATTTTTTCTTAGCTTACAGTCAGGGCAGGTAGAGGAATAAGCTACTGCAGCTGCCTCAGATTCTTCTTACCATCATTGTTGGCCACATTCCTAGAGTCAGAAGTCCAGGAATGTGGGCCTTTAGGAGGAGTAAAGTTTAAGTCAGAATATTGAACCCTCCTTGGTTCCAAATAACCAAGAAGATCATCTTTTTAGTTTTTTCTCCTTTTATCCTTGTGTGTAGAACAATACATGAAAGTAGAATTTTAATCCTTAATCATCTTGCTTTTAGTGTAGACCCAGAAACAGCAATCTTAAACTTTCCAATGATCAACAATATTTTAAAATTATAAATGTTTATCCTTTTTGTGTTAAATCTTATTTTCCCATTGTTTTAGAATAATTTTTATGAATTTATTACTTAATACTTGTCTTTAGTTTTTTTGGTGCTATATATGCAATTTAAAAATGTCCAAAATGTTACAAACATATGATCATTATGTAAAGATTGAAAAATACAGTTAAAGAAAACAGTCTTGTCATCCTCCATTATGCCACTTAGATATGGTATCCTTCAAAGGATGGCCTGTTCTCACTGAGTTTAAAATCTTTTTTTCTTTTTTTGGTGATATTCTGGATCTAACCCAGGACATGCTTTACCACTAAGCCATATACCAGGCACTCCACTTATTCTAGTTTGTGCAGTTTTAACTTAGGTTATTCATGAAAATCAAGTTTAGTTACCATTTTAAGCCAATTTTATGTTGAAGAAAAATCCTAGAAGCAATTGACATTAAACATTTTATAGAAAACAATACCCTTCATTAGCTGATCACCTAGGAAAAAATGTGTGGATTAGTAAATTCAACAACATTTTAAAATTTTTATCTCTTTAATCATTTTAAGTTATGTGAAATGAAAGGTATTTGTATCCATTCTTTTAATTTTATGAACACTCTTTATTTTTTTAAAATATTTATTTTTTTACTTGTAGTTGGACACAGTAGCTCTATTTCGTTTATTTTTATATGGTGCTGAGGATCGAACCCAGGGCCTGGTACATGCAAGGTGAGCTCTCTACCCCTGAGCCACAACCCCAGCCCCTTATGAGTGCTCTCAAATGTCAATTTTTGGTGTTTTTCAAGCACACATGTAGACACAGTATACAATATACCAGTGTGCTCACATATACATGAAAATCGGCAGAAAACAAAGACTTTATTGCTTTTTGCCTGTATGACTTCCACAGGTGGGATAAAAAAGAGTTATAAGGATTTATTATAATAGACTGTCAGATTTAGCCCTTTAGAAATTAAAATAGAACCTTGTGAAGTTTTAAACATTGGGAATGAAGTTTTGTTAGTCATGGTGGATGTTGAAGTCAAAGGTTCAGCTGGCCTTGCCTCCTTGAGGAGGCAGATTTACTGCCACCATCACTACTGTTTATTTTCCTGCTTAGGACTCTTCAAAGGAGAAGATGACTTTCTTTTTCTAGTGTATTTGAGAGCTTGAACAGCTGGCCTCTGAATAAAGACAGCAGAAAGAAAAACAGAGGGCAATAAACTTCAGTTAGACAAAATAGGACTAATTGGTTCAGGAGAAAAGGTGAATTTATCATAAAAAATTGAGCTCAGAAAAAGATGAAGACAAAAAGTTAACATGGTTATTATTACTCTAGAAGGGGCATGCATAAAATAACTTTATCAGACCACAGTTGGATCCGATTATAGAGTCAGCCCAGATATTTAAGCATGTGAAGTCCTCAGAAAAAGGGTTTTAAAGAAAAATAAAACTTGCAAGAAGTTTAACATTGCTTCTTTTGCTTCCCCTCTTTCCTGGGAGCTCAGCCTATACTCAAGCTGTGTGTTCCGTGTCCCCCCCTTCCCGTTTAGAGCTGTAGTTTCCGCTCTGAACTGCCTTGGAGCCTACTAAGCTACTGCCTTAGCCCCTTCCTTTCCTTTGCAGCTGCAGTTTCCACTCCAAATTGTCATGGAGCATATTCATGCTGCTCTGAGAGGTGATAAGACTCTTTCTATCCAGAGGGATACGCCTGACTTGGGTCCTGGAACCTACCTTTTCCTGTGGTCAGTGGATCCTGGTGAGTTGGTCTGTCCTTCCTCTGAGTCTAGTTGGGGTTCAGCCATTCTGGGGGAACTGGAGCATCAGCCTAAAGGAACCCAGAAAAGTCTTCAGGTGGTGTGCACTCTTCTGTCAGTTCCGGTGCTCCCTCTCTACCATCAAATCAAATGGCAGTTCCAAGGACCTGAATGGTTGGAATCCCACTGAGACCTCTGGAAAATGGTATGGCAGTTACACTTAACAAGAGACCAAGCATCACTCAGAGGGTTGGAGAATCCGGGTTTTTTTATACTGGCAGACCCAGATGAGGTGGTGCTCTGAAGATCTGGGCCCTGAGCTGAGGTAACATGGGGCTTTTATAGGAAATTTGACATCATTTCTTAACCATTACAACATTGGTGGGCTTGGATTCTTGGTCTACATGACCAAAGACCATGCACAGGGAATTTAAGGTAAGTAGTTCCCAGGTGTAGAACAAAGACATTAAACACCTATGTCATTGTGAAATGGCCTTCACCATAGGGAGCAATAACTCAAGATGACTTGAGTTCATCTCCCTAAGAGCTAAAGTTCTAAGAATTAAGCCAATGAGATTTTAGTTTAGTCAGCAGTTAAGTGGCATAGTAACATATAATTTATACTAGCAGTTAAGTGGTGTAGCTATATTCCTACAGAGTTTAGAAAGGTACAAAGTATAGTAAAATCAACCCTTTCCATAGGCTTTGGTTTTTCATCATTGTTCTTATACCTTCATTTTATAATCAGGTCTGGTATCTGTCACACCACCTTTCAATTCTGCTTTTCCTTTACTGCCTCCTTTTTGTGTTGTGAGGAGACCAGGAATCACTGTCAAGCTCCCTTCAGTCATCTTCTCCATTTATTTAAGGTATTGCTTTTAAGTTTATGACCTGTTGAAAGTTCAATATATATATATATACATATATATATATATATATATATATATATATATATGTATATATATACAGAGTAAGCAAAGAGTATAACATGTATGCTAATAATAGCATGTCTAGGCAACATTTGTTGAAAAAGTAATTTTCCATATTGAATTTTCTAGGCAATCTTATTAAATCGGTTCACTACAAATGTAGGGAATACTTTTTGGACACTCAACTTGATTTTATTGAAATATTATTTGCTATACCAATACTATAATGTCTGTTTAGTGTAAGACTATAGTAAGTTCAGATATTAGGATATTTAACAAATTAAGTACTCCAATTTTGTTCTAAGATGGTATGATAGTTCTAGAGAAAGTTATTTCCATGTGACTTTCAGAATAATTTTGTCAACTACTGAAAAACTTTTTAAAGAAGCAAGAATTTTCGTAAGAATGATATTGAATCTATAGACCCATTTGGAAAGTATTGCCATCATAACAATATTAAACCTACTGAGTAATGATAAAGAATTTTGTTTAATATTTGTGTTGGATTTACTTAATTTCTTTAGTAGGTTTTGCAGTTTTCAGTGGACATACCTCATACATACTTTGTTGAATGTATGCCTAAGTATGTATTCCTTTTATGCTATTAGTAATGAAATTATTTGCTGTTTTTTATTTTTAATTATCACATATTAATTGTACATATTTATGGGTTTGATGAGATAATTTGATCATGTATAAAACATGTAATGATCAAATCAGTGTAATTAATATTTCTTAGTATTGGAGACCAACCAACATCCCTCTTTTACTTTTTTTGAGATATTGAATTGTCATAAATTATAGTCCCCCTACTGTGCTATAGATGAGTAGAACTTATTACTCCTATCTAAGGAGTATTTTGGTAATCGTTAAACAACCCTTTTCTGTCTCTGCAACCTGCTACAATTCCTAACCTCTAGAGACCATCATTTTACATTCTGTTTTTATGTGATCAACTTTTTTTTACTTCCATATGAGTGAGCCTTCATTGTTAGATTAATTAATAGCCATTATATAGAAATGCAATTAATTTTGTACTGACCGTATTTATACTGAATAATTACTGAGCTTGTTTTTATATTCTAATCTTATTTAGTGATAACTTAGGATTTTATATACGCATGTCATTTGCAAATTTAGGTAGTTTCACTTTTTCCTTTCTAAACTGGATGTCTCATATTTATTGTGTTAGATTTTTGTCACTATATCCACAGTACCTCACAGGCACAACTTATAGGAGGAAAGGATTTGGGGGAGCTCAAGGTTTCAGATGTCTCAGTCTATAGTTAGCCAACTTCATTGCTCTGGGCCTGAGGTGAGGTATAGCATCATGGTAGAAGGATATCACAGAGGAAAGCTACTCAGCTAAGGACGTCCAAGAAGCAGAGAGGAGAGAGAGAGAGAGAGAGAGAGAGAGAGAGAGAGAGAGAGAGAGAGAGAGAGAGAGAGAGAGAGACACTGACCAGAAATAAGACATAGTTAGAGGCCATACTCCATCTATATAGTTACCACCCAGTAGTTTATTTAAATTACTAATCTATCAAACAGATTAATCCACTGATGAGGTTACCGCTCTCATAATCTAATCATGTCACCACTAAACATTTCTGGATTGCCTAACACATGAGCTTTTCAGGGGATGTTAGATATCCAAACCATAACATTTATTTTTCTAAACTGACTGCCATGGCTACATCATCCAGTAAATGTTGAAGAGAAATGGCAAGAGTGCACATTCTTATCATACATAATCTAAGGGAAATTACTGAGACTTTCATGATACTCTGTTATATGAGCTTTTCATAGATTGCCTTTTTAGGTGAAGAAATTTCTCTTCTATGCCTAGTTTATTGGGTATTAATACCATGAATGTGTTTTGGTTTTTGTCAAAATAATTATTGTGCATTTCTACAGATGGTCATTTTTTTCCTTTGTCCTATTAATATTTTGTATTAAATTATTTTCTATGTTGAGCCAAACTTTCACTACTGAGATAATTACATTTTATCATAATGAATAATAGTTTACATGTTGCTCATTTGTTTTGGTGGTATTTATTTAAGGACTTTCCCTCTTATGTTTATAAAGCATATTGATCTGTAACATCATTTTATGGTAAACTCTTACTATTTGTGATATCAGGGTAAATTGGCCTCATAGAATGTTTCAAGAAGTGTTTTCTCCACTGTTCATGGTACAGTTCTTTGAAGACTATATAATGGGTTATTATTAATTCTTTAAAGGCTTGAAATACTTCAGCTGTGAAGTCTTCACAACTGGTGCAGCATTGTCTCCTAAAAACAATCATGTAATCTTGGAATGGGATTCTTCCCTCTGAGATATCAGGAAAACTTGGTCTATGCCATTATCTACATCTGGATTCTTGACATGGGGAAACTGTGAGTAATGTCTGTGAGGCTTTGAGCCCCAAAGCTATGTGACAATATGCAGCAATGAGTAAGTTGTACAGTTTTCAGTTAACTCTCATGAGGTATTCTGGATAGATAGTGAAATGAGAATATGACTTTAAGTGGAAGTCCTGGTAAAATACAAAGAGTGTCTATAGTTCCATTAATAGTTTTGAAAAAGTACTAACTTCCAAGTTTTCACAAATACACTATCATTTTGAAACATGTTAATAGTATACGAAGCTGATAGGTATATGAAACTGTAAAAATTCTTGAGACTTACTGTAAATCTAAAAATATTTGAAAAGAATATTTTATATTATCATTTTGATGGAAAAAAGAAAGCCACCCTAAAATAGAAATAAACCAAAAACATTGGGTTCAGGTGCTAAGTGGATGCTTAGGGAGAGAATACCAAAGCACCTTCCCTTATTATCATCTGCTCCAAATACAAGTGCTTCAGGAACACACTTCATCAAACTCTGGGGACTCTTTTCCTTTCTTCCTCACTGGCTCCTCATTACCAAGTGACTGGTTTTAACATCAATAATATTTCTTCAAAGATGAGTTCCTATGCCTCACATACCCTGAAAACCCTGTTTTTACATATTGTCAGTAAATACATCTGTAACATCCCACTAATTTTTTTTGAAGATGTGATTTCAGTTTATTAAAAGCCACTGTTGAGAAACATCAGTGTCAGGAAACAAATCATCTCTGCATTCAGAAGAGTGTTCTTGGAGAACAGAATTCCCATTTTCTGTTTTAAAAAGATTATTTGACATTTAATGCTTTGAGAAAACCCTCTGAAAATTAAATTTTTCTACTGATCCAAGGAAGGTATTTTGGGGGGCCATATACTTTGTTGATAAATATATCCTGTAATCATATTACCCATTGGCGAACACAAAGCATAGGAAAAGTATTGCCATGATAGCAGGTGAGCAGAAAAAATGTGTGTGTGTGTGTGTGTGTGTGCGCGCGCTGCGTGCATAAATAGTTAACATTAATTCGTAGATGTGATGGTATGATGATTTAGGTCAACCCCTACTTATACCAACTTCAAAATTAACTTTAAATCACCACATATCTGAAAGGAGAGGGCAGATATGTGCTACACATATTTTGTGCATAAGTGGAGAAACCCTGGTAGGAAAAAAAAAAAAAAGCAAAATATAGAACACAGTGTTCCCAACTACCATGCTGTGATCTAGGAGTTGGACACAGGCTGAACATGTGCTAAATACATAAAGACTCCCACAGCAGGGAGGACTATCTGCTCTGTCTATTGCATAGGGCCTTACTAAGTTTCTGAGGCTGGCCTCAAATTTGTAACCGTCTACCTCAGCTTCTGAGGTGCTAGGATTACCGGCATGTGCCACCACACCTGGATCCACTTATTTTCTATGTTATTTAGGTCAGTCTTCTTTTTCCCCAACTTTCAAGTGAGATTGTTTTATATGCTTGAATTAAAACTATATTCTTTCTGCTTTTATCTCTGAGAATCCCCTAAACTACTAAATAAGGTTTGTAATTTACATATGTATAAGTAAAATCCATGTTTAATAAATATCTGGAGATTTTTGTTTTTTCATAGTTTTGTTATGAGTACTGTGGATTGAACCCAGGGCCTTGTGTTCTGCCACTGAGCTACCTCCCATCTTTTTAAAAAATTTCTATTCCAAGTAACTGAGTGTTTTAATCACCTTTTTTTGTTGTTGTGACTAAAAGACATGACTAGAGCAATTTTAGAGAAAGAAAAGCTTATTTGGGGGCTCACAGTTTCAGAAGTCTCAGTCCATAGACAGCTAGCTCCATTCCTCTGGGCTTGAGGTGAGGCAGAACATCATGGTGGAAGATTGTGGTAGAAGGAAGTGGATCACATGGTGATCAGGAAGCAAAGACTCTACTTGCTAGATACAAAATATATACCCCAAAGGCACATCCCTAGTGCCTACCTCAGCCAGCCACACCCTACCCACATTCAGTTAAACTCAGTTAATCCCCATTAGGGGATTAATTCACTAATTGGGTTAAGACTCTCATAACCCAATCATTTCACCTCTCAATATTTTTGTATTGTCTCACAAATGAGCTTTTGGAAGACAACTTCAAAACATAACACTGGGTACTGAGGTTATAGGCATGGACCACTCCACCTGATAAATTCTGTTTTTAATTGATATATTATTATTATACATAAAAGTAGAATTTGTTGCAATCATACTCAAAACATAATTTGTTTAATTTCTTTCCATGGTTTTTCCTTTCACTTTTATAAAACAATAAATAAAAAGAAAAAAGACTAGTTGATGAGCAGAAAGGGATTAAGAGAAAGGAAAGGGAAAGTACTAGGGATTGAAATGGAGCAAAATATGTTCGTTTATGAATGTCAAAATGAACCCCACTATTATGTGTAATTATAAGTCACAAATGACAAAAAAAATCAGTATTACGTATACGATATCTATATCTATATCTTAGAGAAGAATTTCACCACTATATTCCCCTGAACTTAACCTATTGATCTTTGTTTCTCCTAATCCCTTACAAATTGCTGATCTCTTTACTGTGTCTATAATTTTGCCCTTTTTAGGAAATCATAGAATTACACAGTATTTTGCCTCTTCGATATGTTTTTTTTTTTAATTTAGAAATATACCTTTTAGATTTTAAAATGTGTGTCATTATTTCAATTTATATTTCTCTAATGAAAAATGGCAGGCATCATCTTTCTGTGTGCTTGTTAGATATGACTGTAGCTTCTTTGAAAAATATGTATTCAGATAATTTTGCTGATTTTAATTTGTATTTTTTTTAGTTTTTAGATAATGTTATATGTTTATACTAATCAACCCTATGACTTATGACTTGAAAACATTTCTCCATTCAGTTGTCCTTTTATTTTTCATGGTATTCTTCAAATCACAAATATCTTAATTCTGGTGAAGTTTAATAGACATGATTTTTTTTTCTTATCTTACTTTTGTGTTCAGAGTCATACATTAGAACAAATTGTGTTACCTGTTCCTGTTAATATGTATTCTTGTGTTCTCATGTATGGGTTTGGCCTATTTAACACTTAAATTTAGATATATGATTATTTTTTAGTCAACTGTGTAGATGATATGAGATAAAAGGCCAAATTCCATGGGAACATACAATTGTCTCAGTAGTGTTTATTGAAAAATATTCTCCACACTGAATTTTCTTGAAAACCTTATAAATTCAGTTTACCATAAATTTAAAAGTTACTTTTGGAACACTCAATTATATTCCATTGATTTATATGTCTCTCCTTATTCTTGTACAACAAATTGGGATTAGTACCACTACTGAATTTTGAAATTAGGAAGTATGAATATGAAATTATGAAGTATGAAGTATGAATATACTATGCCAACTATCTTATTCTCTCTCAAAATTGTTTTGGCTTATGGATATATTGCATATATGTATGAATTTTAGAATTAACTTGGACAAGTATATAATAGTCTATACATTAACTTGAAAAGTATTATCATCTTATCAAGCTTTCTAAGCGATTAGTATCATATAGTCCATTTGTGTAAGATTTTACTAATTTCATTTAGTAAGTCTAATATTCAGTGTAAACATCTTACACTTTCCTTGTTAAATTTATTCATAAATATTTTGATGTGTTAAGTGGAATTCTGAGTTTCATTTTAGATATTAATTGATAGTACATAGAAATGATATTGATCTTTCTAGGTTGAACTTAGGCAACCTTAATGATCTTTGATGCAATGTCTAATAAATTAGAATAACTAGTTGTTTCTGTATACAAGATTCATGTAATTTATAAACAGAGAATATGAGATTGTTTCTAAATTGAATGTCCATTTTTTTTTCCAAGCCAAATTGCTGTGATCACTACCTCTGGCACAATTTTGAGTAGAAGTGGTAAGAGTAGACATCCTTGTTTTGTGTCTAAACTTGGGGAAATTACTCAGCCTTTCAGGAAAACTCAATTTTTCATGGATCCTTGTTTTGTTGGAGATATTTTATGACTAATTTATTGCAAGATTTTATCATGAATGCTTTGTTTTTTGCTTTGCTGGGGATTGAACCCAGGGACACTTTACCTCTGAGCTACATTGTATATTTAACTTTTTGTTTTGAGAACAGGGCCTTGCTGAGAATCTCACTGAGTTGCTGTCTGGCCTCAAAATTGTGATCCTTCTGCTTCAGCCTCCTGAGTTACTATAATTACAGGTATGTTCTCTCACACCTTGCTTGAATGGGTTTTTTTTTAATTGGTTGTTCAAAACATTACAAAACTCTTGACATATCATATTTCATACATTAGATTCAAGTGGGTTATGAACTCCCATTTTTACCCCAAATACAGATTGCAGAATCACATCGGTTACACATCCACCTTTTTACATAATGCCATATTAGTAACTGTTGTATTCTACTACCTTTCCTAAAGGTTAAGTACTTATTTAGCATCTTTTGAGATTCATGTGGCTTTGTGTTTTATGCTACTAATATAGCACATTGCATTAATTGTTTTTGTATATTGAAAGAAAAGTGCATTACTGAGATTAATACCATTTATAAAAGAATGTAGACAGTTTTGCTTTGTTGAAATTTCCAAGTAGTATTATATTAGTGTATTATATTACAAGTCAATATTTTGAGAAGTGTTTGCATTTTGGAATTAGGCTCACTGGCATTTAGAGCATAAATATTTACTATTCTTATAACTTCTTTAAGTGTTCTTTTTTACCAATGTGTGGTGACATCATTTGTTTCTTGTGATTAATTTCAGTTTAAAACCTGCTTTTTTGGAAGTAAGAATAACTATTCCTGCTTGCCTTCCTTAAACTTACATTCTGTGTACGTCTTTACCTGTGAGGTAAGTCTCATGAAGGTAACAGATAACTGGCCCTGTTTATTATTTTTCCTTTTTTATTTTTAATTTTTTGGTGAGGTGGGGTGGTACCAGAGATTGAACCCGGGTGCACTCAATGACTGAGCCACATCCCAGCTCTTTTGTAATTTTTTTGTTTTGTTTTGAGACAGGGTCTTACTAAGTTGCTTAGGTCCTCACTAAGTTGCTGAGTCTGGCCTAAAACTTGTGATCCTCCTGTCTAAGCCTCCTGAGCTTCTGAGATTATAGGCATGTACCACCATGTCTAGCTCATCATATTTTTTGAGGTCCTCTGTTTTTGCACATATTGGGATGGCAATCTCTTCCTCTGTTATTTTAGGAATTTTTAGTGAATAGTTCTGGGTTTATAATAAACCTGGGGTTGGGATATCTCTTAGCTTCTACATATCTAATCAACATAATCTAAGTATTCATTTCAACTCCCAGTGCCTCTTTGAGAAGAGAAAGTACTACCAGTAGCAGTGGTAGTTTAAGAGCAAACCATACATCAACATTTTGTAAACATTATTACTAATGGTCTCTACAATTCTATTGGCTAAGGAGAAATGTGGGTATGAAATAATATAGAATAGATTATAAAGATTAAGCATAAGTGATAGTGCACTAATTTCAATGGGAAGATGAGATAAAAAATAAATTAGGAAGGAAAAAGTGTGGGGATACAAAGGAGTTTTTTAGTTGCAGTGACACAAAATTCTGACTACAACAATATCCTTGTGTTTCTAATCTTGAGAAAATGACAGAGACTTTCATGATATCACATAATGCTATTTTTTACATGATTGGTCTTTTAGGGGAAGAACATTCTTTTTGGGGGGTAGGTGGTACTGGGGATTGAACTCAGGGCACTTGTCCACTGAACCACATCCCAAGGCTTGGCTTGTTTTTTTTTTTTTTTTTGTTTTGAGACAGGGTCTCACTGAGTTTCTTAGCAACTTGCTTTTGCTGAGGCTGGCTTTGAGCTCACAATCCTCCTGCCTTGGCCTCCTGAGCCACTGGGATTACACATATACACATGTTCTTTTTTATGTCTAAGCTTTTAAGTGTTTTAACTATGAATGTGTTTTAGATTTGTGAAATGTTTTTTTCTGTATCATTAAAGCTGATCTTAAGGGTTTTGTTCTTTATTCTATTAATATATTCTGTTTCACTTTTTGTTTTTTTGTGTTGAACCAATATTTCATTTTTGAGATAAATACAACTTGGTTATTTTGTACTATTTTTTTAATATGTTGCTCATATTTTTTTTTTGTTTCCTAGTATTTTCTTGAGAATTCTGCTTTGGTATTTTCCAGTGAAATTACCTCAGTCGGGCAGGAGTTGAATCCTAATAGTAGTCACATAAGCTTAGAGTGGATCTTTCCCAACTCCAGATTTAACGTGCTCCAACATCTATATCTGGATTCCTGAACCTGAGTAATTGTGAGTAATGTGTGTGGTTTTGAGGCAATAAGATAAAAGCCAGTTTTAAATAGCAATAAATAAATAGTACAAGTTCTGCTAAATATAATAAGGTATCCCAGATTAACATTATTAGCATGATATTAACAGTAGAAAGAGTTGAAATTCTCATACTGTCTCTGAAACTTTCTGTAAGACAAAATTTAATTAAAATAAAATGAATGCATGAAAATCCTGACATGAACAACCAAGTTAAACCAATAAATTGTCAAGTAGGGAGAGAAAAGAATAGCATCTTATTAGCCATCATTCAAACACACATGCACCTGCTTCAGGAAAATACCATGAAGTTCAGGGACTTTCTTCTTCCCCAGTAAATTTTTTTAAAGGTGCCTGTGTCTCAATATCTCTGAAAGCTCTATTTATTTTCTTTCTTTATTTTTTTCTAAGTTATACATAACAATAATATTCATTTTGACATTATTTGAAAATCATAATTTATTTTAATTTGTTTTATTTCAGTCCTTAGTACTCTTCCTTACCTTCCCCTGACCCTTCCCTGAATTCCCTTCCCTCTATTCTGTTGATCTTTTTGCTATGTAGTTATAGTTGTTTCTTTTTCAATTAGTGTCTTATGGATATGCGTGATAGTGAGATTCCCTGTGATATATTGATATATGTACATAGGAAAACTAGGTCAGATTCATTCCACTATCTTTCCCTATCCCATCCCTCCTTTATACCTGTTTAAGTATTCCACTGATTTTTCTTCTATTCTTTTTTACCCCCTCCCCTTATATTGGATTAACTTCTTCACATTAAAGGAAATATTCTACTTTTAACTTTCGGGACTAGCTTATTTCACTTAACAATATAGACTCCAGTTCCAGTCATTTACCACCAAATGCCATAAAGTCATTCTTCTTTATGGCTGAGTAATACTCTATTGTGTATATGTTCTACCTTTTTAAAATCTATTCTTCTGTTGAAGGGCACTTAGGTTGGCTCAATAGCTTGGCTATTGTGAATAGTGCTTCTGTAAATACTGATGTGGCTCCATTATAGTAGTATGCTGATTTTAAATTGTTTGGATATATGTTTCAAGGAGTAGAATAGTAGGGTTGTATGGTTGTTTGATTCCTAGTTTTTTGAGGAATCTCCATGCTGCATTCCAGATTGGTTACACTAATGTGCTGTTCCACCAATAATGTATGAATATGCCTTTTTCCCCACATCCTTGCCAATGTTTAGTGTTACTTATATTCTTGATAATTGTCATTCTGACTGTAGTGGGATGAAATCTCAATCTGGTTTTGATTTGTATTTCCCTAATTGGTAAAGATTTTGAACAGGATTTTATGTATTTGTTGGCCATTTATATTTCTTCAATTGAGAAGTATATGTTTAGTTCTACTCCCCATTTATTGATTTGTCATTTGCTTTTTTGGTGTTAATTCAGTGTTGTGTATATTCTGAATATTCAGTGACCTCTCTATGGAGCAGGTGGCAAAAATTTTATGCCATCTCGTTGGCTTACTCCTCACACTCTCAATTGTTTCCTTTGCTGTGAAGAAGCTGTTTAATTTGATTGTCAGTTTCTGAGATGACTTCTTAGAATATTGGTCCTGGATTTTTTTTCTAGTATATGTAGGGTTTCTGGTCTAATTCCTACATCTTTAAATCACTTTTTAATTTTTTTCTGTTTAGTTATACATGACTATAGATTATATTTTCACATCTATATAAACATGCAGTGTATCTTATTCTAATTACATTCCAAGATTTGTGGTTATACATGATGTGGAGATTTATTTTGAGTTGAATTTTGTACAGGCTGAGAGATCGGGGTTAAATTTCATTCTACTACGTATGGATTTCCAGTTTTCCCAGCACCATTTGTGAAAAAGGCTATATTCTCTCCAACATATGTTTTCAGGATCTTTGTCTAGTTTCACATAAATGCATTTATGTTGGTTTTTGTCTTTGTTTTTCTCTATTCTTTTCCATTTGTAAACCATCCCAAGGAGAAGAAAATTGTCATTGAATCTTCATTTGGTTTTTCTTGTGGTTTGGACATCTGGCAGATGTCCATCAGTCTTTGTGGATCTCTCCTGAGTTACAGGGTTATCAGAGCCAACTTCCCAGTTGCTAAGAACCTGCTTCTGGTTTGTTAGCTCAAGGGCCTGCAGCTGATTGCTTAAAGGGTGCAGTGTTGTGGCTGCTTTTTTCTGTTGTGTGCAGGATGCAGGCTGTGGAATGTCCCTGTGATTGCTATGGGTCACCATTAATTTGCTCCTCTCTAACAGGATTCTTTTCATGATAGTCAAGATCTTGTTGGCTATATGTGAGTGCAGGGATTCGGGTTGTGGGTTTTTCACTATTGTTCTGTGGTACAGAACTATTTCCCTGGCCAAAGCCACTCTCTGTTGTCCCATAATGGAGGATCTCAGATGGTTTACCTAAACTCTAGTTTCAACTGCCCCAGGTTGTGAATGGTGGCTGTTGATTCCCTCTGTTTACTAAGTCTGATGCAGAGTCCCACAAATACCAAGTAATGTGTTTTCACTTGTGTATTGTGATTGCAGGTCAGGCTATAAACCAGTTAAGGCTGGGAGCAGCCCCTTCTGGCTGAGTTCACTGGTAATTTTCCATGGAGTCTTTTTTTTTTAATTTTTATTGTTGGTTGTTCAAAACATTACATAGTTCTTGATATATCATATTTCACACTTTGATTCAAGTGGGTTATTAACTCCCATTTTTACCCCGTATACAGATTGCAGAATCACGTTACTGGATATTCAGGCAGCTTCCCTCTGGTGTGGCCCCATAATCATGGAGACTGTCCTTAGTTTCCCCACAGTGCCCTTCCCCCATGGTCCAGGCATGATTAATCTTCTTGCCTTTGTTCAGGGCTCAAACTGATTCATAGATGTCTCTGTCTGAGTTGAGCAAACAGACACTGCACAGGACTTTCTGTCCTTGTCTTAGTTGCAGAGCTGGGCTAGGTGCAGTTCCCAGCACATGTCCCCAGCAGCCCATTTATTCTTTTTGTTTGTGGTGAGGGTAAAGGAGAGGGGGTTTCGGTGATTTGGGGATAGTAGTGGTCCTTCTGGGAGTTCTTTCTGACTAGATTCAACCGGGGAGTTTTCTCAGGTTTAATTGGCAGGTGTCTGGGACTGAAAAGATGAATGTTGGCTGTATGTGATGCAGCAGGTAAATAGTCTGCTGAGGATTCCACTAGATGGCTGCAGACCTCTGGCTCTGTTTTCTTTTCACAATTTGGATATAGGCTGTTTGCGCTGTTAGCATCATGGTTTAAATTCTGTCTTTTCAACTCTTTTTTAGTGGGTGATCTTAAGAGATATTCTGCTTCCCCCTTTCTCTCTTTCTCCTTCTGTTCTCCCTGCCACTCTTCTCAACCCCAGGTTTTGGTTTGGTGTTAAAAAAAAACTCTGAGTTTGTTTTCTACTCCTGACCTTCTTCCACTCTCTCCAGGTTTTCAACTTTAGAGTCTTGGAGCATTTACTTTGTCATACATGTGTCAATTCTGGTTTTTCTTTGCTGTCTCCTTTCTGTGTTGGGAGGAGTTCAGTACTTGCTGGCTAGCTCAATTCTACCATCTTCCCAACACTCAGAAAGCGCTATTTCTTGTTATTGCCAGGCAAAGTACTTGCAGCTTCCCACTGATATTCCCACTGGAATGTTTTATTTTTTTTCTTGTTTTTTTTTTTTGTGGTTGTTGTTGTTTCTTAAGAGTGCAATTTTTACTTGAAATGAGAAGCTCAGACGAATGTCAGTAATAACAGGGAGCATAAATAGTTTCACAATTAGAAAATATATTCTTCAATCAGATTTTATTTCTCAAGAATTCAAAAGACAACACTTACCTTCAAGTCCTTTAGAAAACCCTGTTATAATTAAATTTGTCAATTCTATATTTCTTCTGGATGATTTTTTGAACCATAGTTTGTTAGATTTGCATTAAATAATGTTGAGATATATTTATTTCTAATTTGGTTTTTAGTTTCCTCACCAGTGGCCATAAACTCTACCCTAGCCTGATTGAATTAGTCTGAGTTTGGTTCTGTGTGTTTACAATGTGCCTTTCATGGTTGTTGCAGTTTAGATACGAGGTGTCCCCTAAAACCTCATGTGTAAGTCAGTGCCCTAATGTTCTGAAGTATTTTCTATATTTTACATTACTATAAGCTTACACTGGAAATTTGTTTTATTCATACATGAAATAGTTTGTAGTTCATTTCTTCCTCCCAAGCTCCTTAGTGGAGGAGAAGAGGTCTACAATGATCACGTTATGGGAGCTTTAATCAGTGTATCTATCTACTGATGGATTAACTGGATGGTAACTGTAGGAACGTAGGGTGTGGCTGGAGGAGCTAGATGAGGGGGACATCACCTTTTATCCAAGGTTAGTGGAACACTCTCTGTTTGTTTGTTTCTCTCCCCTCTCCCTCCACCTTCTGCCCTCCCTCTCCTGTTCTCTCTTCTTCCTTGTTTCATGTCCTGATGTCCTGGCTGCTTTCTTCTGCCACACATTTTCACCCTGATGTTTTGCCTCACCATGGGCCCCAAACTATGGAGTTAGCCATTTGTGGACTAAACCTCTGAAGCCATTAGCCAAAACAAACCTTTATTCTTTTAGTTTTTCTTGACTCATCTTTTGATCACAGTGATATAAAAGCTAATCCTTATGATGGTGTGCTTCTTTATTCTGCTGGATGACCTTATGCCACAATGTCTCACCCGTGTCAAGGTTCATTCACAGAGGAATCTTATTTATATAAGAGATATGCTTTTGGCTTTGGTATAATCAATGTTCACTTTATTCCTAACCAAAATAGACATTATCTAGGAGAGCCTTACCTGGAAAAGCAGTTACTTTAAGGGTGTCGGTAACATGAAGTACAGAGGAGGCAACACAGATTATTCATTGCTAGATCTCAGTGAGAAGTGGACAGACAGCATGTCCCACAAAGTTTGTGAGATGTCAAGAAGTGAGACATAACCCCCAAAACAGAGGAGCAGTGAGAAAAGAGAGAAACAGAAGACACCAGTGAGCTATAGCCTTCATATGGTGCAGGATATTTCCTGAGCAGGTTTCTCAGGGAGAGTCATAATTGGTGATTTCCAGGAAGCAAGCACATTTTATGTGAAGTCACCCTGTGTATGAGAAGGGGTCATTGGGATCTCTCATCATCCATGTGGGGAATGGGAGCCAGCAGACCAGTAAAGTACAACATCTACATGTCGCCAGGAAGTGGTCACCATGAGGTGGTTGTATGGAGTGATATAAAATAAATATCTATATTACTATAAGCTTATACTAGAAATTTGTTTTATTCTTATGTGAAATAGTTTGTAGTTCATTTTTTCCTCCAAACTCCTTAGTGGAGGGGGAAGACAACAATAATCTGTTTCATGATGACTAAATAAATTTCTGATATGACCAAGTTAGATATGTATTCAAAATGGATGAAAAAACAACATAATATTATTAGCATTCACTATATTTAAATAGGAAATTCTAGTAATTCACTAATAACTCTGTCTTTATTCCCAGATGAAAGGTAAATAGAGTTGATCAACTTACATGAAATTATATTTTAGAATATTTTCTCAGTAGTTGATAATATGGCAGATGAGACATCATAAAGCCTAGAATCATGAGAAATGGTCAGTCACAGAGAAAGTGAAGTATTCCATCAATCCTACCAGGTACACTTCAAATTCTTTCTAATATAGATATTTCCAATATAGATATCTTGAAATCGACAATATAGAAACACTGTTGGCTAGAATGCATGTCACATATTGTGATTGTGCTTTGTGCACACACATGAATTAGGGCTGAAACTTCTTTTTTTAAAAAAATAAATTATAAATCATCTTTATCTAATTGCTACACACACACGCACACGCACACACACGCACATGCACACACACACACACACACACACACCTTGTCAACTTCTGATTATACTGTAACATCAAACCTTGCAGAAGTGGTTTCTATAGACTGGAAAGAAACAAGACTTGGAATATATTTCAGTGGGAGAGCACCCTGAGTTTTTGTTTTGTTTTTTGTTTTGAAGGTGCTGGGATTGAATTCAGGGTCTCATACATGCTAGGCAACTACTTTACTACTGAGCCATTCTCCAGCCCTTAATTCCCAATATTGTAAAAAAAAAATCAAAATTATAAAAGTTATTTGTCAGTTCAAAAAGTTTTACTCTTTCATTTTGAATAAAATGCATTTTTCAATTGATCCAAATGAAACATCTTGCAATTAGAGAAAACTGTCACTCTATTGAATTGTGTACTTCTAAATGTCAGCAAAACCCCTACAAGAAAGAAAAGGAGTTTACTTCAGTCTGTGTCTGGTCTTTACTCACATTGAGTATGTTTGATAATTGTTCTTGTATGTGGTTACTTCTTAATTTTAGTGTAATAATTATCACTACCCCAAAGTCATGCATATATTTTGCTAAATTACATACTAAATACTGTATTGTATTGTTTTAAAATTTAGGTCTAGATCTCTGATCCAGCTAGAAATGATGTTGTGTTATATGTGAATTTGGCGGGGTTTTTTTCCTGTTGGTTATTCAATACTCTACATCACTCTGTGAAAATTAGTTAATATTAAGATTAATGATTACTGAGTTAATAATGAATAATAACATTTCTTGCAATTAATTTCCTTAAATGTGCATGTATCAGTTTTGAGCATTCTTTTTTAAAATTGATTATATTTGTGCAGAATAACTGTCTTTTACTAAGTTACTTATAGAACCCAATTTTTTTCCAAAGCTTATTACATTCACCACCATGTTACTCTGGAATGAAGAAACAAAGAGTACAAAAGTGCCACTCTGCATGTACAGCAATTTTTCCACTGACCCAAGAGAAGGGATCACAGGTAAATGACAAAGGTCAGGTGGACTGGATCAGGCATGCCAGGTAAGCTCTAGCAATAGGTAATATGGACCACTGAGAAGGTCTTGAGGAAACATTTCAGTATTACACACACATACATATTCACCTGTGCCTTCATGTCCTCTTCCATATTCTGTGATATACTCACAGAAACCTCATAATTCTCTCTTGTGTCTCAGAGGACAGCATTTGTTTTGAATTTATTTTTTATTGCATGTACTTTGTTACATTATGGATGTACCACTAGCTATTTACCTAAGTTTCTTTTAGGAAGATTATTCACAGTTAACTGTTTGCCACCTTAGTAAGCAAAAGAAATTTCCCTGAATTAATATTCTCTTATTTGCACTGATTTTTTTTGGGTGCTGTATTTTTCTTGCTAATTTTGGATACATTCATATTCTGCAGAATATTAAGTTTTTAAGTCATTTGAAAATTGTTTACTTTCTTTTATATTCTTTGCAATATTATGTCATTCTCTACATATATTGGATTTTAGTTTATTCATCTTTTTCTGGGATCCAAGGTAAAAATTCAGATGATTGCTTTTAGATCTTTCATATTTTATGAGACATGCATTCAGTTTCATACATTTTCCTCTAAGCTCTGCTTTTCTTGCATTCCACAATTTTTGATAAAGTTTCATTTTAATTGTCATTGAATTCATTTAATTCAAAGTATTTGAGAGTTTTTTTTTTGTTGTTGTTTTGGTGTCAGGGATTGAGCCCAGCACCTCTTAATCACTGAGCCAATCCCCAGCCCATTTTTAATTTTTTTTTTTTTATTTTGAGACAGAATCTCATTAAGTTGCTCATGATTTCCCTAAAGTGCTGATACTGGCTTTGAACTTTTGATCCTCTGCCCTTAGCTTCCTAAGACCCTGGGATTAAAGGTGTGCACCACCATGCCCAGCAGAATCTTCTTCATGATTAACATAGTATTTAAAATTGGTTATTTTATCATAATGAATTTGTGTAATTTCCACTTATTTTTTTTTATTTTTTCATTCTAGTGTAATTTCATTGGGTCTTGTAATAAAGACATTATTCCTCAGCAAAAATAAATCCCATAGGATAAGAATAATCCTATGCGTATAAGACCTATTAGAAACATGACTAAATTTTGCCAGCATGTAGTCACCCAGTCAAGATGATAACCATGCATTTAGTTTGAGTCCTGAATCATCAATCATGGCCTCCTCCTGGACTGCTTTTGTAGATTCAGAAAGTCATTTCCTGGACTTTCAGGGATATACATGTAGCTTTTATGATAGTACAAGTTCCCCCTTGGGTTCCCATGAGAATGTCTAATGCTTTTTGATATTAGGGAATCAGAGATCCATGATAGGTGATCATACCAGAAAATATAGATGAAAACCCACTTGTGGCAAAGATTTGCATAATTAGCAAGTCGACTTAATATCTTTATTATCCCTTCACCCACTGATACACCATAGTCCATCTTCAAGCATCTTGGGGAAACCATAGCCACAGGTTGGTGCCATGTGACCATTCAGTTCCATTTGGTGCCCGGCATTTCCTAGTCTTCATGTCCAGCATGTTGCAAACCAGTCATTTTCTTATAAAATTGTAATGTGGTGGCAAGTTTGTTCTGAAATTCATCCCAGAAAGTATTTGACACTTGGCCGTTGGTCATATGATTGATTTCTTTTCTGAACAGAGTGGAACAGTTTTGACTCAGTGGGCCTGAAATTGGCATAAAGCATAGATATTTATCCCAAATCCAGAAATGTCCATCCTTGTATCTGTGATTGTTAGGTAACACTTTCAAATTGTTAGGTAACACTTTCAAATACTTTATCCTTGATTCCTTTAACTTAGGTTTGTTTAGGGACTACATCTGGGATAAGGGTCATGTGAAAGGAGTAATTTTTTCCCATGGCCTGGTTTTCTGAGAAGTGTTCTTTATGGATTAATCAGTTAAATTCAAGTTGTGGTGAGAGTTAGTAATAGTATTACTTAGTATTTAGTTTTTTAATTGATTTTTTAAAAAATAAATGACAGCGGAATACATTGCAATTCTTATTACACATATACAGCACAATTTTTCATATATCTGGTTGTATTTAAAGTATGTTCACACCAATTTGTGTCTTCATACATGTACTTTGGATAATGATGTCCATCACATTCCACCATCTTTGCTAACCCCTGCCCCCTCCTTTCCCCTCCCACCCCTCTGCCCTATCTAGAGTTCATCTATTCCTCCCATGCTCCCCTTCCCTAAGAATACAAAGGCAATTAAAACTCTTCCTATCCCAGTGATCCCTATTATTTTGGTAGAATTTTGCATATTTTCTGTGGACTCTGTTTCTCTTAAATATCAGCTTCAGATTATCTACAGTTTGGAAGGAGAAGTCCCTTTTGATCTTTTTCCTGTCTGAATAGTCAATGGCTCTTGGTGGATCTTGTTTCGTCCTGTGTGATGATTTCATCATATCATATCATATCATATCATATCACATCATATCATAACTCTGTCTGGGTTTTCCAAAAACTCATTCACCAAATATGGCTGCTTAAATAATACCTTCCTGACAATCATGTTGTGGCATCCCTGTGTTACTGGATATACAAAGTGTGTGTCTTTAAATTGGGTTAGTCCATGAGGATGGTGTGATAACTTCCTGTCCTTCCAGTATTATGTGATAGCTTCTTTTCTGATCTAGCATAGTTAGTACATGATGGGTACATAAATGGTAATGAGTTTCCTCAATGTGGGCTTGTCAACCTCTAACAGTTGCTTCGTGGCTGAAACTGCCCAAACATGAAACAGACTTCCTTTAACAGTCTACATGGATGAATGTATCAATACATGAATGAATGTGTCCTTCATCCCAGCAGTAAAAGTTGTACTGTCCAGTCCTGGGCAAGGCTGCACAGAAATAGCATATTTCATGTCTTGTTTCTAAAAATCGCTATTCACTCTTTCCACAGATGCCCAGGTATCATTACATGTAGGAATTTCACCTAAATTTACTCATGTATTGTGAGTGGCAACAAGCAGCCCAGCTAGTAGTTTTAGTTAAATTTTGCTACTGTGAAAAGTGTAAAAGAGGAAAAGTTTATTTTGACTCATGTTTTCAGATTTTCAGTCCATGGTCAGCTAACTCCATAGCTCTAGCCCCAAGGTGAGTCCCATGGCTAAAGGGCATGTCAGAGGGAAGCAGCTCAGAACATGGCAATATGGAAGCAGAGAGAGAAAGCTCCTTGCACCAGGGACAAAATGTATGCTCCCAAGGTTTACCCTCAGTGACCAGTTTCCTGCACTCACATCCTGTCTGCCTAGAGTTTGCTGCCAAATTAATCCATATCAGAGGTCATACGTCTCATAAATTAGTAATTTTCACTCTGAAATATTTTTTTTACATGTGAACTTTTGGGGAGACCTCATATTTGAAGCAGTAGTAACCCCATATTTTTATACCTGTGGCGGTAGACAGTAGTCACTGACAAGAAGCAGGGTGAGCTGTTACTTAAACCACTTTAGTCAATTGTATACCATTCAGCATTATTCCATCTGGTCCATTGTCGCACAGGCACAGTTGCAATGCTATTATGCTTTCTTTTGTTTTATGCCTGAACTTGGACCCCAATTCAACCAGTTCTCCAGGGACATACAATTTCATGGTCATATGTAAATATCTCTCTGGAGCAGAGAGCAGACCTGGATCAGCCCCCTCAATCTGCTTCTGCTGAGTCTTTAATAACTTTTGGACCATTACCAGTATGTCTTCCATTATATCTTTATCATCAATCTCAACTTATGAATCACTGGAAATAGTGGACTCCCTGAGTGGGTCCCACATCTGAGGATCCCAGTTTTTGCTAGTTACCTATACCTTAGCACAGACTTTGAACCCATAGTGTCCATGAAATTTAGCAGAGGAGCATGCTATGACCTGAAGATGCTCATCTGCAAGTTCTAAGCACTGCAACAGCATATCTTTGTGTCACCCTGTGCTAAATGGGCTTCTCTTTCTAGTTTTAACTCTTCTAGTATTCTGCGGAACTGAGCTTGGGTGGCTAACTCCTGGTCTGTGCCTAACTTCAGTACCACAATAAGGGCTATGCTACAGCTATGGTGGCATTTTTTGTCCTTGTTTGCTTTCTCATGACTACTTTGGATGTGTTTCCAATACTCTCAGCAATCCCTCTGGTATTTTCAGGACATCCCCATACTTACCCAGTGGTCCCCACCTCTTCAATAGGGAACAGCCTGAAACCTCGATGAGGCTAGTGGCCAGCCTGGGATTTCTTCCACAGATCCTGTGTCCTTTTCCAACTCTGGAGTCAACTCAACATATTCCTCTTTAGGACCCTGCCAGCTATGCCAGTTTCTTAGCCCTAGCCCTGCAAATGGCCCAGCATACTGTGTATTGATTCTAAAGAAAGAACTTGGAGGATTCACTGAAGAGCTTTTGGACATTTTCTTATTCTCCTACATTCCTAGGCAGTAATAGTTCAGGATATAGTAGAGGTCTTCATCACATCTACAAGCGGGAGTATATGTATGTATGTGTGTGTGTATGTGTGTGAAAAGTTATATACTCACTGGGCAAGTGAATTTTTTCAGATGTTCTATTGGTGCATTCTTTGCAACCAAAATTTCTCTGCTATAAAGGGAAATTGCATGGAAATGGAAGGAGACCCTCAGGGTTATACAAAAGAACATACAAGAGGGAATGAGGGGAAAGGGAAAAATAATACAAGGGGGAGAAATGAAGGTCAATAGGGGGGGTAGAGAGAGAAGAAGGGTGGGGAGGGGAGGGGAGGGAGGAGGGGGGATAGTAGAGGATAGGAAAGGCAGCAGAACACAACAGACACTAGTATGGCAATATGTAAATCAATGGATGTGTAATTGATGTGATTCTGCAATCTGTATATGGGCTAAAAATGGGAGTTCATAACTCACTTGAAGCAAAGTGTGAAAGATGATATATCAAGAACTATGTAATGTTTTGAACAACCAACAATAAAAAAAATAAAAATAAAAAAAAAAAA